TTCTTAATTTATTAATTTGTATAATGTTTTCGTTTTATATTATATATATTTTGACATAAAAATGAATTGTAAAAATATTTGAAATTTAATCCAATATCAGCGGCAAACATATTTTTAATTTCTAGCAAAATATTGTGCTGCAAAATTCAATTCCAAAGAAACAGCTATAATATAGATAAAATATTATGATTAAAAATAATTTTGATTATTTATTAATTAAAAATGCTGCAGATATAATTGCATTAGAGAACTCTTGGCTTCAATATTTCAATTTTCAATTTTGTACTTTTCAACACTACTCAGACCACTGTGCCTGCAATATATCAAACATTGACATGCGGTCAACAAAGTGCGTTCAATGACGTGCATAAAAACCAGAAGGACTGTGAGAGGGAGAGGAGGGCTTAGGGCAGGGGAGTGCAGGTTGTGGGGAATAGCACTCAATCAAGCGTGGAGACAGGGGACACACGCTGCCCCAGCTTTGGGTACATTGACTGTTCGCCACATAAAGACGCACAGAAGCAGCCAGAACGGTAAAATATTGTCGAGTAATCGCTGTCGAAACGCTCGTCGAATGCATTGACGCTATAAAGACACACAATGACGTTGTAAAAAGAAGAGAGAAGAAATAACAGTCAGATGGACAGGGMGACAGAGACAGACAGACGGAGAGACAGCGAGAATGAAAAGTGGGTGGCCAGCGAAATACGTATAAAAATGTTGAGAGGAGTCCGCGTGGCAAGCAAAAGATGTCAACAAGCAGCAAGCCGGAATGGAAGCCATTCGGATAGCGCTGGCTTAAGTGAGCTCCGTAAATAGAGCTGTTGACCAGAGGGAAAGGGGCGACTGAGCCAGTGAGAGAGACAGGGGCAATAGGGGCTGCGTGGGGTCAGTCCTTTAGCAGTTGAGCAGTTAATGTATATAGAAGAGGTCTGGATTGTTTGTGTAACATTTTCAGATGTTTGGCGTAAAAATTTTTCAGTATGTTTCGCTTGCTGAGACTTAGAATTTGAGATTAACACAAAAATGTTTAGAGGAGGCAGAAAAAAAAATTAATAATAATAAATACAGAATTACTATAAACACAATTTGCTAAGAGATATATTAACTTCATATATTATATATATAAATTTTACTTTTTTATAATTTTTAGCATTAAATACAAACTCTAAATAGACAAATTCGAATAGAAAAACTCTCTCCACGCCCCTATAAATTATTTGCAGTCGCAAAATCCATAATTTTGATTACATGTGCTTAAGTTAGCTCGCTTTGATTATGACTTACTTGGTAGCTGCATTCGATTAATGAAATCCCAATGCTAATTTTGGGGGTTACGAGCCAAACATGCCAATTTAGCTGTTGGCCAGACAAACAGCAATTGGCCCAAGCCGCAGAGTGCAAAATCAATAAATTAACAAGCAATGCTCATATTGCCTGCTAGCTAGGATGGGCCTGGGCCTGGGTAACACTATTAAATGCATTCCACCATCAACGCACCACCCATAGCAATATTCTTCAACGTTCCCTCATCTGGCTGGCCCCCGTCCCGCATCGCCTGGCTGAATCCATTTATCCAATGCCATTTTGGCTTTGGTAACGCGCAAAATAAATGAAAATATAAGCCCGACTAACCAAAAACTGATTACTACAAGAGCTCAAGCACTCATGAAGCGCCCGCCTCCAGTTCACTTCCCCTGCCTGTCTCCCTCGCTGTGAGTCTCTCTAACTCTGTTTTCTTGTTCTTATTCGCAGGCAGCCATGGTGGCAACACTGGCGATAACAATCAAACGCCCGTGCGTAATCCGCCCGGAGCATTTCACAATTCTGCAGGCTCACTGGCACAGCATAATCTACTTGGTAAAATAATGCGCGGCATTAAAACGCAATCATTTGGGATTTTCAAACGTTTATCGAGTTATTTGCCAGCGGCGCTGCTGGCGTCGCTGCCAGCGTCGACAAGTCGATGGCGTATGAGTAATATGAAAAGCCAAGCCCACACTCAGCCACTGGAGACTGCTGTCGGCGTGCAGTCAAACATAAACAGCAGCAGCAGCAGCAGCAGCAGCATCAACACCACCAACAACAACAACCAGACTAGCAATAGCAATCGATGGGCGTGGCAGCGAGAGCCGCGCATATTTCACATAGCTCATACGCCGCGTGTGACGCAATGCGATTGGCCAACGCTCATTTGCATAGTAATATTGGCAGCGGGCGTTGTTGTTGCCACGGATGTTATGCCCAAGTTGTTGTTGCTGTTGTTGCCATTGTTGCTGTTGCTGCATTTTATCGGCAGCCGGATCGCATTTTCTATTAGTGCGGCGCATAGGCAACATTTAATGCTAACATTTTCGGCTGTTGGTAATAAGGTTGCCGCATTGTTGCCGCAAATTTATACAACAACAGCAGCAGCAGCGGCAGCAGCAGCAGCAGCAGCAGCAGGAGCAGGAGCAAGAGCAGGAGTCGCGGCAGCAGCAACCCAGCCAAACACATTTAGTGTGCTTTGCCAGCGCTGGCATTCAAGATGAAATCAAATAATTGCAAAAAACTCATTTAGGGCACAACAACATGACGGAGATGATGAAGAAGTGGAGCAAGAAGAAGCTGTAGAAGTAGAAGAAGCAGCAGAACAAACAGCACGCCAAGAGCGTGCAAAATAGAATCAAACCTAGACAAGTAAGTAAAAAGTATAAAATACAGCATAACAGTTGTGCAAAATAAGCAGCACAAGAAACACAAATGGCATACTCATATAAACATATATAGATATATATGAACTGTATAGCAATAATCGTAAAATGTTTCTCATGCTAAATGGCAACAGCAATCGGCGTGGCTCTTACATACATTGATTTTTTAATTGCCAATCAGCAGCAGATGAAGCAGCAGTTGGCTATTTCCTTTCTCAACGTCTAAACGGATTTTCTAATGCAATTTATTAAGCACTTACAATAACTCCTTGAAATGTCAATCAATGCTGAAATGACTGCCATTCATTCCCATTCAGCTTGCATTTAAATGTTTTCACAAATCAAAGTAGATAAGAAATTGGCAATCAAACCTAAGCAAACCTCAAACTGAATGAAAGAGTTGGCTTTATTTTATTTATAAAAATTGTTTTATAATTATTTATATTCTTATCATTTTTGTAAAAATAAAAAACATTAATTTAAAAATATTTTTTATAAAATATGGAAAGAGAAATATTTTGCTGATTTACCCTGTAGAGAAAGCCAAATTTGCTCTTCTTCTTTTCTCTCATAGACTTTTTGCCTCACTGCATTTGAATTGAACTGGGGCTGAAGTGCTTTCTTTTAATACATATAATAATAGGTTTAACTTTATTGTTGTAGAGAACAAATATTTTCTGTATTATAAAGGAGTACAATTGATTTGCTTAGATTGTTTACTGAGCTGAACTTAACTGCTTTTGTTATGAGCTTTTGGCTCTTATGTAAATGAAAGGGAACCCGATATTAAAGAGATTCAGATTTAAGAGGGTTTATCATTTTATCATTTTTAGCTTGATTTGTTTATACTGGCTTGAATAACCTGATCGCACCCTTTGGTCACTTTGAGATCGGCTGAACGCTGGGTTCCCACAAAAACGGTGTAATGTGATCTTTTGTTTATGGGGTTCCGAGTCTTTGGTATATTTTGACAAGTTTTGCATTGTTTCTAAAATTACCGGATGTTTTTGTCGGTAAGCTTGAGTTTTGGATGAAGTTCTGATTATGCTCAGTTAAGCTCGAATTTAAGGTTCTATGAGGTGGACTTTGAGCTATATACATATGTATTATTGAAATGTTGAAAATATTGAATATTGAATTAATTGTTATTCAGCCTTTTTTTAATTTTGTTTATCAGCCATGATTTATGCCACGTTGAAATATAGAAATATTGACTATTGTTTGTATGTATTTAATATATTCTAGAGAAACAAGAAATGTTATTGTTATTATTTGATTATTGAATAACAAAATAAATAAATAAAAATGTTTGGCAGTTTCTGATGCATTTATACAGAATATATTGATATTTACATAAGTTACATACCCATCCTTTGAAATGTCCCCCATTCTGAGGTGCATAATTGAGGGTTTATGTGGAATATGTTTCTATCAGAATATTTTCATTTCCACTGGTCTATTATTTTTGGGTATTTTTGTGTATTAGGGCTCAATTCCTTTTGTTTATTTAAATTTATAATTTTTTTTTATGACATTTTTTTGTACTTAAAATGCTTTTATTGTTTAAGAGGTGCTCTATGCTATGATATTTTCTCTTTTTTGGTTACAATATTGCTTATATTGGTATTGGTGCTTATGTATGATTGTGCGATGGAATTGCGATGCTAAAATTTAAATTGGGGACTATAAGTAAAGTAAGTCAATACATATTGAGCTAAATAACTCATGCTTTTTATTTAATGTTTGTGTGTTTATATTAAAAAGTATAAAAACCACTAAAAATGTTTTTGTTTGTATGAGAATAAAT